GGAGCCGCTGCCCCAGGGCAGATGGGGCTTCCTCCTCGCCGGGGCCCTCCGCGGAGGTGCCCAGGGGCGGCCAGGGGCGCTGGGAAGCCAGGCAGGCAGGGGTTGGAACACCGAGCATCCCCTGCCACCAAGCCCAGGCCAAGCTAGGCTCGTCGACCGACAGCAGCTCGTGGCCTGAGCGAGAGCAGTGGGCTTCGGACCCGCCCGCCGCTGCCCTGGCACAGCAGAGGAGCCCCCAGCGACCCCGGCTCCAGTTCCCCGCTAACTAGCTTGAAAAACACGCCAGGCGCATATATGTGCCTGCCCAGCATCCCCACGGCCCGCCGTGTGACCAGGCCTGGGGGCTGGCCTCTCCCTCTGCCTCTCGGTCTCTGTCTCTGGGGGCACACACGCTCTCTGACTGAAGCACAGGGGGTTTGCAGGACAGGGAAGCCATGCCGGGTGACGTGACCACACGCTGTGACATGGCCACAGGGACACGCCCTGACAAACAGCACTTGCCCGTTGGTGTGCAGCCCCCGCAGGGTGGTGAGACCTCACGTGCTTTCTGCTCTGTGCCCATGCCTGCCTTCTGCCCTGCGCCCGTGCCTTCTGCCTTGTGCCTGCCTATCAGTGGCTTTTTGCAAAACCAAGTGAGGGGCCAGCAGATGGCGCGGCAGCTAAGGTGGCAGGATCCCACGTGGACACTGCAAGAGCCAGCCCCTGTGGCTTGGAAAACATTCCAGGAGCCAGCAGGTGGCAGAGCAGCTACCTGACTGGACTCCCACATGGGTCTCTCTGTCTCTGTCTCTGTCACTGGCGAGTGCATGTGCCCTAAGGCCACAGGTGGCGTAATGACTGTGTTGCTGGACTCCCACGTAGTCGACCGCGGTTCGCGTCCCAGGCCCGGTGGCTTAAACTCACGCCTGGCACGTGTGCGTGCGTGCCCAAGATCCCGAGAGGAGAATGGAGGAGAAGGGATTGTGGCGTGACCATCCCCCCGGGGGGGTGATTTCTCGCTTTCTGTCTCTCTGTCTCTGTCTGTCTGGCGAGCGCACGCGCCCTATAGCAAAAACCTCTAAAAAACAAAACAAAAAAACAAACAAAAACCCACCTAGACGGCCAGCAGGCGTTGTAGTGGTTAACCCTGGGCTCCCATATGGCCAACCGGGGTTTGAATCCCAGACCTGCCTGCTTGAGGCTTGAGATTCTTGCTGGGTGCGTGTGCATGTGTGCCCAAGGTCCCAGGTAGAGAATGGAGGAGAGGGGACTGTGGCATGGCCACCCCCCGGGGGTGACTTCTCACTTGGGATTTTGGGAATGCATTTGCCAGCATGATTTCCAGCCGTCGGGGACGGAGCTCAAACTTGTTCGGCACCTTACTCATGACCTCACCTGCCAGCCCCTGAACAGGGTGTTTTGTAATTAAAACTTTGATGGAGATTGGGTAGATTCTCCACCAGTTAGGACAAGCAGATGGCGTAATGGGTACATGCCCGCCTCCCACATAGCTGACCGCAGCTTGGCTCCTGGATCTGGCTGCCTGACACTCACACCGGGCGCGTGTGCGTGCGTGCCCGAGATCCCGAGAGGAGAATGGAGAAGGGATTG